TCATTTAAATAAACAAGTTTTTGCCGTTTAAAGCTAGTAATTATTTAAAATAAATTTTTAGACACTCTATATAAGGTAGTATTATTTTTATTATTGCAATACAAAATTTAGTAAACAGAAAAACTGCAGTACAATATTTGGTTTTAAAAACTTAAATAACGCCTAGAGAAATGAAGTATTAACATTATTACTGTATTTTGACAAAAAAAACTAAATATTTCATAAACGGTAAGATTAAAATGCGATAAACCTTAATCAAATTTACCTTTATATTAACCGTAGAAACTAAAAATGTAATAATATACAGGGTGTTTCATTTAAAAAAATGAAACAACTTTGATACTTTTTATTTATTTGGGACACTCTGTATCTTGTAAAAATATTTTTAAATTATAGCTCTAATAGCCCTTCAACGAATCCAAAACTTAGAATATGCAAAAATCTAATGGTTTAGCTACTATACTCCGTGTCGTATGTGATGAACAAACCTGTATATACTCAATTTAAGACATTGTTTTTTTCTGTGTGATATTTTCAGTTTTATATCAAAAAATACATTTTATATAACATCAAAAATTAATACAACTCTATGTAAAGTTGTCCACAAGTAAATTTTTCGACAAATTTACATGTTGGTTTTACGCAACCCTGGTGGAAAAATTCGCAAGTTGAAGGACGACCCTGCCGCATACGTACACTCACACATAAACAAGAACAGGCCGATTGGTTTTACTCTTTAATTACCTGTAATTTTATCTATCGGAGTAAAAACGCTGCAACTCGTCCTTTTATCCTTTTTTATCCAGCATTGCCAGCTCTCCCTCTGTCTATCTGGCTTTATGTCTGTCACAAACATATATGCGATATTTACTATTAGATTATTGCAAATTGAAATAAAAATCACATTCTGATGAGACCAGTTTTCATTGCGATAAACTGGTCAATTAAAAATGGAAATGGACTTGTTTAAAGAACGTAGTTAAAAATTATTAATTACTTATGAAGTTTAAAAAAATATTAATAGAAACAAATCTAAAAAGAATAGGTTATGTTAGAGAGTTCTAGGTCGAAATTTTAACAATGAGGGGGAACTATTAGATAGAACATTCCACAATTAATTAAATCTAATTTACTGACAGGATGTATTTGATGATATCCTGGGGGAGTGTTATATATTTGAACGATTTACCTTTAATTTGACCTATATAATTAATAAGTACATAATACACTGTGTCAATTTTAAAACTTCCCACCTTTACAGTTGAGGGTTGGAACCTTTGGTGTTACACAGCAAAATAAAAACACTAAATCACCACAATACACCAAAACACTTTTACTTTTACACTGGACGCGCGTTTCGCTAACCATGTTAGCATCATCAGCAGATGATTATAAACTGACTTAGTTTATAATCATCTGCTGATGATGCTAACATGGTTAGCGAAACGCGCATCCAGTGTAAAAGTAAAAGTGTTTTGGTGTATTGTGGTGATTTAGTGTTTTTATTTTGCTTTCCCACGTTTAATAACTTTCTTGCAGTTAAACTTTTTTCTAGGGGGGTCGAAATACTAATAAACAGAAAACATCATAAATATTAACGTTTCTGTTCTCAAATTCGAATGAGGTGGCAACTTCGAGGGAGGCATGGGTGGCACCGTTTGAAGCTTTGTTTCGGGATTGGCAAAGTAACCTCAAAAAATTTACATCAAAAATAATAAAAAGCAAAATAAAAACACTAAATCACCACAATACACCAAAACACTTTTACTTTTACACTGGACGCGCGTTTCGCTAACCATGTTAGCATCATCAGCAGATGATTATAAACTGCTAAAGTTTATAATCATCAAATTATCTGTTTAACACCAAAGGTTCCAACCCTCAACTGTAATCAAAAATAATCTAAAAAAATAGTACCTACCTAGTTAATTTGCGTTTATTCGATGTCTTATCACTAAAATTCCACAAAATGTCTTGCTATTCTATCAACAAACTCTAAAAATACGTTGTTGTCTTAACAAAAAAAATGTTCAGCAAATTTAAAAGATAGCTAAAAAACTTAAAACAGGAATATGACTATTCTTAATTCGATTTTGCTTGTTGGGCTGTTCAGTGATAACTTTTATTAAGTGCATAAAGTGTGAGAATGGTTTATTCTCTTCAAGGAAGAACTGAAGTTATTTTCATTTATGGAGAAGTGGGAAAGTGCGCACGAAGAACGGCACTGGTTTTCAATCAATGAAATCAAAATCGTGAAGTAAGTCACAGATATGTGCTGGATTTGGTGGCAAAGTTCTCCGAAACTGGTTCGGTGAGTAATAGAAAAAGAAATAACCTACGAGTGATGAACGAAGGAGCTCAAATTGAGGTTTTGGGATTATTTGCAGCAGAGCCCACCAGCTCCTTGGGGACAGTAGCACAAAAGACAGGAATATCACACGAGACTGTAAGAAAAACACTGAAAATGCATAAATTCCATCCATACAAAATGCAGATACTTCAAGAACTCTATAGGATGATTTTGATAGAAGAATAGAGTTTTGTGAAATCATGATTCGTCAAAGCCAACCCTAACATTCTGCCGAATATCTGTTTTTCCGATAAATGTAGGAAATGTTAAGAAACAATGGAGTGATGAAAACCCGCATATTTTTCGAGAAGGACATACACAATATCCCCAAAAAGTTAATGTTTGGGCTGGTATTCTTGGAAATGCTATTATTGGTCCTTTATTTATTGAAGGAAACTGTGTGATCTTGTTGTGATTGAAGGAAAAGGTGATCTGTATCTTAATATGCTTCAAGAGACTATTAATCTTCTTTTCACACAAGAGCTAGAAACTCAAATTGATGCAGAGGGTAATCCAGTTTTACAGGAGTATTTGTTAACATTCCAGCAGGTCGTTGCTCTACCTTATTATTTTCTTCCGGTCCGACAGTAACTAAACGAGAGATTTCCGGGTACATGGATTGGCAGAAAGGGACCAATTGAATAACCTCCAAGATCACCTGATTTAACACCATTAGACTTTTTTCTTGGAGGACATCTTAAATCCATTGTTTATAAAACACAACCTACTGATATTGATGATTTGAAAATGCGAATTACGGCAGAATGTCGGTCAATTCCCTGTGAAGTTTTCCGAAATGTTTACAGGCTTTATTATTGTTTACAGAAAAATGGAAAACATTTTGAACAACTTATAAGGGCGTAAGTGGTGTAGTATGTAGGATATTCTAATCATTTGTACTACAAGGAGATCCATTGCAATAATTTTTGTGTAAACACTAGCCTGAAAACCAAAATCTCAATGTAGGCATGTTTAATTATTTCTGCAACTTTGAAACGCGATTATTCGAAAGCCTCTGGACAAAAAGCAACAAAGTAGGATACTACTGAAAAGAGCATTAAATGATGTGCCACTTGACCCTCATTCCCATTTAAGATTGTAAACGTGACATCTACCCCTCCTAGGGGGTTGAAAGAAAAAGGCTCAACATATTCATTTAAAGTATACTCCTAACAAATAAAATTGACGTGTCTTTCCGATTTTTAATATTTTTAACTGCAAGAAATATATTAAGGGTGGGAGGTTTTAAAATTGACACAGTGTATATACAGTTCATACCAAATAAGCTTTTAGTCACGTGATTAAGCTTGACCGGCACAGCGAAATTTTAGCGACAAAAATAAATTAATTATAAATATATAAACAGTTATTTTTAAATCAACAAAACTCACCTTCTTAACAGCACTTAAGGGACATAAAGGGCCGCTTACATACTACCGCTTTCCCGTTCAAAATATTCTAATAAAGTTACCATGAGCTTTTTACGGCTATTAAGCTTTCTTGTACACTTTGCACTGAAAGAGGTTCTATTTTTAGAACCTCTTTTAGTGCAAAGTGTACAAGACAGTGTTTGACTGCAAGGTCTGCTAGTAAACATTTTGAAGCTTAAAGTATCACAACAGTATTGATTTAAACCAAAAACTCATATATAATACAAAACTAAAATGTCAAAACGAATAACAATGGAAATAAATAAATAAATATGGCAACTTGACTAAAAGTTTAATTGGTATCAAATATAAATATATTTATATTATATACTGCCCTTATTTATTCTTTAGAACCATAATATACTAGAAAACTAAAATAAGTGCTCTATTTAAAACTGAACTATATTTAAGTCGCTGTAGTCTAAAGCTTTTTCAAGTAAAAAAAAATAATAAAGGAGCTCAAGCGCTAACAACAGCAAGGGAAAACACAAAGCGGAAAAACAAAAACAATCACAAAACGAGATTGGTAGCAATTAAACATCTCAAAGACGATTTTATTATCCTTTGATTCGCCTACGTGCTCTAAAAGCCTTCCTCCTCTTCTTATAATTCTTCTTCTTCTTTCTTTATTCCCATGGCTTTTAATTCATACGCTGTTTGAACGAGATCGTTGGCAAACAAACATACACACAAAAGAGAGAAAAAATAAGACGAGGTTGAGGATGAGAGAGCAAAACGGCGAGTACAGGTTTTCGACCGACAAAAATAAACATAGACAGAGGAAAAGATTGAGTCTTAGACTGGAAAACTTATGTATGTATGTGTAGTTAAAGGATATATTTCTTAAACGGCTTGAAAGCAAAAATATATTATACGAAATTATAACTGTAACAACAAAATATGATTTTGAGTTCATTTCCTTAAACGAAAACTACCTTTTTATGTATTTTAAAGTTTTATACATTGTGTTCTAGTCAGAGCTGTAACAACTCAGTTTTAAAAAGACTTAAATCTTAAGTCATTTAAAAATGAGGAGAATTTAAAAATAATTTTAGTATCTAGTTACATCCTCTCTCGATACTTTGTTTTTTGGTTACACTAAATTTTATTAACCCTAAGACCGTGTAGTTTTTATTCTGCGAACCATATAATGGATATGCATCCAATAATTCTCCATTAAGATTAAACTCCAAACTAAAACAATTTTTCTTTTGTTCCAGGTTGCAAGATCAAGGCTCTCCGCGCCAAAACCAACACCTACATCAAGACACCCGTGCGCGGCGAAGAACCAGTGTTTGTCGTCACCGGTCGCAAAGAAGACGTGGCCAAGGCCAAGCGCGAGATCCTTTCCGCAGCCGAGCACTTCTCCCAGATCCGCGCATCCCGCAAGAACAACCTAGCAGGCCTTGGCTCCGGTGCCAGCACACCCCCAGGACCCCCAGCCAACATCCCTGGACAGGTCACCATTCAGGTTCGAGTACCCTACCGCGTAGTTGGACTGGTAGTCGGTCCAAAGGGAGCTACCATTAAACGTATCCAGCACCAGACCCATACGTACATCGTCACTCCCAGCAGGGATAAAGAACCAGTCTTCGAAGTCACCGGTCTGCCAGATAGCGTGGAGGCTGCCAGGAGGGAGATCGAAGCTCATATAGCTGTCAGGACTGGAAATACCACAGGTTTAGGATCGTTATCAGGTCTAGGAGGGTTAGACGAATGCGATTTGATCGCTTCTTTGTGCAAGACTGGACTTAGTTCTCTGTTAAACTACATGGAGCCTTCGACAGATTCCTTTCCCACCATGACCTCGTCAACTAGCAGCAGCGGAGCGTTTTCAAGCTCGGGATCGTGTTCTTCTAGTAGTAGTTCATCTACCAGCAGCGGAGGTGGTGGTGGAAGAGACCTGGGAACTATTTGGGGATCAACAGACCGCGATGAAGGACTTGGAGACTCGCCAAGCTTCGAGACGTCAACGGCATTGTCTAGTATCTGGTCGTATCCATCAGTACCGGCACCCACCAGACCATCGCCAACCAACAGCACAAGTCCAGCCGATTCTTTGTTGTCGTCCAGCACCAAGTGCTTGGTGTGCGGTGAGGCTAAAGTTACGCACGCTTTGGTGCCCTGCGGTCACAACTTCTTCTGCATGGACTGCGCTAATCGTCTCTGTGAGACCCCGGAAGCTCAGTGTCCTGTTTGTTCGATGCCAGCGATTCAAGCCATTCGTATTTTCTCGCCCAACCCTTAAGGAGACCACGTGTTTCATCCCTCCAACTAATGAATCCTCCTTTTATTTCTCAAGAATGTTTTTTTTCTGAAAGCTCATTCGCGCAGTATTAGAAAATAAATCGGAATTTTTTTGATGGGCGAAGAAAAAAATGCTTGAGAAGAGGAAGAGGAGGGTTCTTCACATTCCCGTATGCGCGCCCTGTGTTCTGCTGAGTCGAATTGAATTCTTCGATATCGAGAAAAATCTCAATACAACGAATATATTACTATTATTATTATTACTAATATATTAAAGAGATATTTGTTTGATTAGACTGTTTTCGTCTGATTTTTTTTCTATTTTTTTTTCTTTGTATCGAAGAATTCTTTTTTTTTTCGACGAAGCATAGTCATCGTATGCCAGTTTTTCTTAGTTTCTTTCTTTTTTTTATTTAATTATTATTATTATTACCGTTTTTTATAATGTGTTTGATAGTATTTTAGAGAGAAAAATTAATCGGATTAATTTTTTACGTTTTTTTTTAAATATTATTATTACAAAAAAAAATTCCAAAAAAAACTAAATATAAAAGACATAAAAGTGTTTAAAAGAAATGTTGAAAGAGAAAGAAAAAAAACGTAAATTTTTATACTACCGTGTGTATTTAAAAAATAAATATATATGTATCCCGTGTTATTTTTTTAAATATATTTTTTTAAGTTCCGCCATTGTGTGACAAAAGTATCACGTCTTTAAAAAGTCTGAAACAGCAATTCTCAAAATATTTAATTTATAAGTATATAATATATATTATAATATAATAAATGTAATAATATTTAAAGACAGGAAAGCGTAAGATGAGAGTGTATGCGTGAGAAAAATACACGTAAATATTATAATATTGTAGCGAAAATTTTTAAAATATATCTAATATATACAGGGCCATGCTAAAATACGCCTAGAAAATTTCAGGAAAGAGAGTTTCTCTAAACAGATTAATAACAAAAAAATAGATTTTAGTTGATTCCTTTTAATAGTGAATTGCATATTATTTGTTTATAAAACAAAACAGTTTAGTAAATATGTTTATTCAAAAAAAATTCAAAATTATCTAATAAATTGAATCTGAAATTTTTTCGAAGTATTTTAAAATCGCTTTGTATATATTCGGTTGGGAGTGAGACTTCTTTTCCTTTGTTTTATCCTATCGTATAAAGTAGTCGATTTTTAAATATATAACCATGAGGGAGAGAAAAAAACTAAATGAAAACAACAGAGATAGAGAAACGAAAGTGCATAAAGATAAAAAATTAAAAGAAATATATCTAGAGAACCGTGCAACAAACACACCTGTGCGCCTTTCGGCTGTGATCCACAATTGACTGCCACCAACTGTCCCAAACTACGCCACCTTCCCCCTAAGTCGCTCGCGACGTCACCGAGCTCCCCCTAATAACTAAATACATATCCCATTTTTATTGTTAGTTGACTATATTATGATGTATATTTGCTTCTTGTTGATGTTTGACTCTTCTGTTGTGACTCTCGTGCATTGCGAAGTTTTATATAATATATTATACTAATATATAGATATACTTCTAGATATAATATAATAATATATTTTTGATCGACGAAATGTCGACGAAAAATTGAACGATGACCTCGCGAACGTTTCGAAGGAGTTGGCGTAGATAGTTTTGTTTTATATATTTTTTTTCGGCTCATAAGTATATCGGTTTTTGGTTTCTTCAAAAAATAAATCGAAGACATTGTTTACGATTTCATAAAACGACTCTAGGTTGGTGTGTTTGTTGCTGTTCTAGCTCTAAAAACTTCAGTATTCACCGAAAAGTTTTACTATCCCGTCTCGCGAAATGTTTTTACGACATAACCTCAAAGAAAGCTTAAAAATTCAAGAAATACTGGTTATTTCCGATTCCGATTTTTGGCGCAGGTTTGGTAGGATCAGTTAGAAAATGGGAGATTATTCATATTACCGGTGTTGGTAATCAGCTATGATGATTTTAGTACAATTTAAACTTACAAACCTACTTTTTATGTATACTTTATATATTTTGAAAATATATAAATTATATATAAGAAGACTTTTTTAATAACTGCTCAATATTTTCCTGATCCTATATTCACTATTTTATTTTTTACTTTTTACAGTTAAAAAAGTAGGTATTTCTTGTTCGGCGATTGGTGCAACCCAAACCCCACTTTCTAAGCAATAAGCAACTGAAGACATACAGGGTGTTCTCTTTTTAATTCGCTAACTTTTCGTATTTTTTTGAACAAGACTTACTTACGCCCATTTGAGGTTGTATCGTGAACAAGACTTTATATTACGGTTAACTTTTTTTGATTTGTTGATGTATAATGAATTTCTTTATATTGTATTTATGATAATCTTGATATACCGAGCTCTCACACACTGTATAACACGCCCCACCCCCCGCAGTGTTTGCATATACCGATATACCGCTCCTCCATACATATATGCGCTTATATACTTATTATATTAATATATTATATGTAGTATCTATTATTATTATTATTGTATTTAAATAGTAAGAAACTATATTTTGTTTTTTATTTATTTTTTTATCGTATATAGAATAGTATTTTGGAAATTAGTCGTTATTAGATAAATTTATATATATTTTATTATGATTATTATTAATATTATTATTGCTTGCTGGGCAAAGAGCGCGCATATCGGTTATATATACAAAGTGTTTAATAAATAAGTGCCGAAAAATCATTTTTTTTGCACTTATTTGTTTCTACATGACTATAGTAAATAATAGAAACGAAAAAAGACGTATATAGGGGGGAGTAAAAGGGGGGTGGTGGAGAGTTACACTACTAGACTTATCTAAGTTCGTATCGAAATTATTCCTATCCCCTCCGGAGCCCCCGCGACCACCTCCCCTATTTTATTTAGATTGTTTTTAAAATACGTACGTTGTAAATAGATTGTTGATTTGTAGCGATATAAAAAAAACTACCAATACTATTATTATTATATTATTATTAAACTTATTATTTTATTTTTTTACATATTTTTTTCTGAGAAAGATATATTATTATTAATAATAATTATTATTATTACGGATGTTAGTACAAGTTCAGTAACGCGAACGAGTGACTGTTTATTTCAAAATAGTTATAATTTTTTATTAGTTAGATCTATCATAGATATATTTATATTTGATATATTATTGAGAGACTTTTTTTGTATAGGACGGCGTAAAGTGTGATGATTACGATTTGATTTTTTTCTAATTTTATATTTTGATTTTTTATTATTATTATTTGAATCTTGCAAATGTATAAGTGTGTTTTTCTATTTAGAAATTTATGAAAAATTAGACGGTTTTTTCTCAATTACTACGAATAAATAGTGACTGATACCCCCACCCTTATCGTGTACGCTTAAACCCTGTTTGGTCAGCGGCGTCTATGGACATCTAAAGCGTCTTGCAGCACCGACCGAAACGTGGGTGTATTCCTTTATCTGAAGAAATATGCACTAGTATTATTAATAGATGTTAAAAATGGTTTTTTTATGTGAGTATGTCGAGACTGAGATACGCTTTAGGTGTCAATATGCAAAACTAGCAAATAATTTAAGATATTTTTGATTTTTTTATAATTTTTACATGCTACCAAATAAATTTCGTGATTTATATTTTTTTGTTATTGTTTTTTTTATTTCTTTTTTTCCTCCACAATACCCCATTTATGTTTTTTCAATAGAAATTGATGGGCAAAAACTTAAAAAAAAGAAAATTTCTAGTTTTAGAAATAAAATATATTGAAAAGATATTAATAAAGGAAATTTATTTTTTATTTTAACATACAGGGTATTTCAAAAACCTGTGCCATCTCAACTTAGGCCCGATTCTGCTTTGATTCGTAGCTATAGTTAAGTTAGTCTCCATTTTTTTTATTAATTAATTATACTTTTCATTTAGTTGCTTTTAGCGGTTTGAATGAAATTTTGAGGTAAAAGTCCTATAAGTGTTACATATTTTAATACTACAATTGTCGACAGATTTACCAGGGACGTGCATGTGGTCTGGAATATTTTTCTAAAAAGCCATGTACGCCACTGTCTTTTTCTTTTTAGCTATATTGTGTAGGCCGTTTAATGCTGATTAAAAGTTGTATCTTGATATTTGTGGATTTCGATCTCTTTGATGAGATTAAAGCAATTAATTTCATTAATCACAATTAATAAAATTAATATATTATTTTATTTTAAATTTTATTGAAATTTATAGGACTAGTGTACAGAGCTACCTAGAGCAGCTTCAAGAAAAAAATAATGGTATTTAAGATAATTACTAAATTTCTATTTTTTTAAAGATTTGATATCCTGTAGATTTAAAACTCGGCCACCCATGTTTATAAGAACTTTTTTTTATACTTTTTGACGACAAATTAATTAGTACTTATTTAATACTGGTCAATTAAGGACATTATATTTTTAAGTTGCTGTCAGTGTTAGGTTAAAGTAAATTAATAAAATTGTGTTTATCTCATCAAGAAGATCGATAAAATATTAAGAGGCAACTTTTAATCGCCATTAATAGGCTACACAGCTATTGTAACTAGGAAATAAGTCAGTGGCGTACAGTTTTTTTTTCAGTGATAAATAACCCACGTCCCTGTAGGCACGTCCCTGGGGAATCTATCACTTTTTATCATTAAAATATGTCGCACTTATAGTAACTTTTACACTCAAAATTACATTCGAATCGCTAAAAGCACTTGGAAGAAAATTATAATAAATGGAAAATAATGATGACAAACTCCTTGTAGCTATGAAACAAAGCAGAATCGTACCTGCATATGTTGATATAAGAAATAAATCTAATTTTTTTGTTTTTTGAAACACCCTGTATATTAATAAAAATACCAAACAGCGTAAATAATTCAACAAAAAAATGAAATATTTTAGAATTAATTCAGCGAATTTTCAAGCAAAATAAAATATATTTTTATGCATAACTTATATTCATATTTTTTTATTGAAGGAACATAAAAACCATTTTCCCTCACTTTTGTTTTATTTAGTTTTTCTAATACGAGTTTTCTCTATATAGAGAAAAATGATAGAAGAACTAGAGTTTATTTTTTATAGTTTTTTTTAATTAGCAAACAAAAAAAATGTCTCTATTAATTCTCTATCTTTTGATTGCTCCTATTTGTTATTACCATCCGCATCAAAAACAACCCTCCCGCATGTTTACGTCACATTTTCCATGTTGTTTTGTCGTTTGGTGTTGTAAAACTCATCATCTCTCTGCATGTTAGTGAGTACCGTAGGGTAGAGTCTATATATATTTAAATAGGTTTATATCTCAATGCACAAAAAAAAATAAAAAAATATGATGGAGAAAATATTAAATTAGTAAAATTAAATTCGCGTTTTATATTTTAATATAATATAAACATATATATGTATAAAAAGAACTATTTTAGTATACGCGTGACTTTTTTAGATTATATAGCTAAAACACATGTAATATGGCGCAGCCAAACAAGTTCTTGGTTAGGTAAAGGTATAGAAATATAATATTGATATAAGTCTATAGATATTAAATTTAAGTTTATTAGTCATTTTAATTGTGTCGATGTATAGTTTATGTAACTCGTTTATGAATTTTCGACTGTCTCAAGTAACATAGATCAAACTTTATCATCATTTCCAAACCATATACAGGGTGTCATTGAAATGGTGTAAAAAAATCGGGGGGTGATAGTACTAAAAATAGTAAAAAAAGTTCCTATAAGTATAAGGCGTTTTTTAAATTCACCCTTTCAGTGCCCCTAACTCCCTTAATATGCATTTTCCGCCCTATACTTTAGGAACTTTTTTTACTATTTTTAAGAGTACTACCCCTGATTTTTTTTACACCATTTCAATGACACCCTGTATGAACGGTCCAGGGGAAAAAAATGATAAGCGCCATTTTACTAAATATACAGGACAGCCAGAAAAACGACTATAACCTGTAATAATTATGTTTTGTAGGTTTAATAATTACAGTAAGAGGAAATGAAATAAACAGTAAACTTTGAAAATCAGAAAATTTTTAATTAAAACGTGAACGTCTAAGGGTACGAACATAGTGGAGGCAGGTTTCTGCTTTCCGGCAGCCAGCGCCGTCTCTGGGGACCTATTCTTGACCACTCGCATCTTCAAATATCGCTCACATCTCGCATCTCCGAAAAAGCCATATAATAATACACGTGATGCGTAACTTTGCGTATATGCATCACGTGTATTGTTATATGGCTTTTTCGGAGATGCGAGCAGGGTTCGGAAGTAGTTAATTAAGAGGAAATTTACCAGATTAACTAACCTAACCTAACCTAACCATATTGAAACGCCGCGCCCGCCGCGCCGGGGCCGCACATAGGGGTATTTGGTCTATAAACCTGGCCAAAAGTGATATTTTTTTTATTTTCATTTTTTATCTTAACTGAATACAAATCTATAAATACTAAATGTAAAGCACGTTTATTAGCTTTTTTTAAGTCGTAAGTTGACTATCAAATAAATAATATATTTCAATTATAAGTATGAATTATCTTGAGTGTATTCTGAATATTTCTAAGATTATAAAATAGTGGAATTGTTTGTAGTGCTTTTTTTTGCAAATTGTTTATAATAACTGTCATGATGGATACAGAGCCAGCTGGCAAGTCCTGTTTTATGCCATATTTTTTTTTGAAACGTTTCCTTCCATTCTATTTCTTTATAATGTTTTATATTTAAAAAATGAGAGGCATTTTTATAAGGTGTAAGACTATTCGGCAATATTCCGCATTGAAATTAGTATCCGTTCAATGCTTAAAGTCTCCAGCTTTGGAATATGTACAAAAATCTTGCCAATATTTGCCACTGCCAAAAAACATTGATTTAAATAGATTCTTAAAGAAAATAGTCATTACCCTATAACACCCGTCCTCGCTCAAATATCGTCGATAATATACAAATTACTTTCTTGTTCTAGCATCCTCATCCAATTGCTTGGTTTTGTACAGAATGGCCCTATTTGATCGGTGGAAAGGGTTTCAGAGTAGAGGAAAAAAATATTGTGTAGGAAAACAAAATGAGGTTCCATATTAGCACCCTCTCCTCTAATAATTAATATTACTAGCAAAAAGCAAAAAATTATACAACTTAATTTTGGCCAACTTTAAGTTCTTAATACCCTCTGTGCGCCGTCGGCGCCTGCAAAAGCAGAAATAAATAAATTTTCGTTCCGGTAAAAGCGAGAACGCCGATGAACGCTGGTTGACGGCTCCTACCTACTTTCACTGTGAACTAGCCGATTTGATAACACGCTTTATTTTTTCAAGGTTATAAGCGCGAGGCGGCGCGGCGCTACTATGTACCCATATACAGGGTGTCCCAGAAATACGTGCAAGTATTTTAACTTAACTGGTAGTATAGTTCAACCCCAGAAACACGCCTATGAGGTTTTTTTCTAAATAATTTTTTTTTGAAAATTCGGAATTTCTTGAAAATATTTTTGGAATTTTTTTGCAATTTTTTTTTAGTTTTTATTTAAAAAAATAATTTCTTGATAATATGGCAACATAGGTAGTAGATTAAATTTATAAGAAAGAAAATCCAGAAAAGCTCCAGTGGTTCTCAAACAAATCTCGAAGTATTGGAAAGAATATGTAAGGACCAAGAACTATTGACTAAAATAAAACGACGGAAAGCAGCATATTTTGGTCATATTTTTCGAAATAACAAATATAGTTTCCTACAGCTGATCGTTGAGGGAAAGATTGAAGGACGACGAGGCATCGGGCGTAAACGGTTTTCCTGCTTGCGGAATTTGCGCCAGTGGTTTAATATAGGAGAGGCAAGTGCAATTATCCGTTTGGCTCAAGACAGGAGGAATTCCAATTGATGGTCGCCAACCTCCGATGAGGAGAAGGCACATGAAGAAGGTTCTCAAAATTTTAGCAAAAAATCATTTTTTTTTGGAAATTTTCAAAGTAAAATAACTCCGTTATTTTGGACTTATTTGAAAAACGATAAAGAGAAAATATGTTTCTTTTATCGAGATCTACCACCCTTTAAAATACTTGCACTTATTTCTGGGATGCCCTGTTTATAACAATACACGTGATGCGTATACGCAAAATTGCGAACGATGTCAAGAATAGGTACCCAGATTGGCGCTGGCTACCAGAAAGCGGCAAACCTGCTTGCACTGTGTTCGCACACTTAGAAACAATTTTTTTTTTCAAAATACACTCAGATATGAGGCAGTTTATATTTTTTTCAATGGTACTTTCGAGAACTTAGTTATATTAACACACAGGTATATTAACTTGGCCAGAGTCTCCAGAAAGTTCACTGCTTGACATAAATATAAAAATCAAAACTCTAAAGGTGCGTCCATACTTCTCGTGATCCTACTCGCGCTCTTGCTTCTGATTCTGCTTGCGTTGATTGCGCTTCCTGTTTGTCCTGTTTCTCAAGATCTTTCGGCTCACAAGCAACGACGTCCATATTATAATGTAGTGTTGGCGTTCGTGCTGTTCGGACATGAATCATAGTAAAGTATGTTTAATAGCGGCTGCTAGTGCGATCATTATTGCAAAACGAAGGAGACAAAAAGAAAAAAAGGCGGTGTTGGATGTCTAATAATTATT